TGTTGTTGTTGTTGTATATTTAATTATTTTATCAAATATCCATATAGTACATGGGTTGGGTATTGTATTAGTACATAAATAAATAAAAAGACATAATTATTTATAAAAAAAATACATTGCACAATTTTATTTAACATGAAAAATACATTACTAATACATATTATATAAAAATTCGTCATTAAAATTATAATAAATTTATAAAAAAATATAGAGTTATTACAATATTGCAACATTTGTCGTGAAAATTTTAGTGCTGCGCTAGCGTATTGCGCTAAAAAATGTGAGGAAAAAACCACTGAAAAATGTAAAAATCTTATGGTGTGATTGTTTATCAATCCACCTAAAAAAACCAATCAAAACTCAAATTTAACTCAACTTTAACTCAACCCAACTATCTCCAATATTATCAATATAATTAAATAATATCAACCAATCATTCAACAAGTCATTTTTATACATCACATCAATTTTAATTCACTATTCATCTACTCACATAATTTTAACTAACTATCACCTCCAATCATTTTTCTCTTACTTTTACATCATATAAACTTTAATTATTTTATTTAAAATATTATTTTAATATAACCACTAACAACTAACCATACCAACTTTTTTCAAAAGTAACTATGGTTAAAAAATAACCAGTTAAAAACTAGATGAATTCATAAACAATCACCCCCTTAGTGCTTGCGCTACATTGTTTTTGTTTAATTTATTTTTTATTAGTATATGCATTTTTTTTATGTTAAATAATTTATGTGATTTATTTTATTAATTTATTATAATTTTAGTTCTCAATTTTTATATTAAAATTGTGCCATATGAATAAAAATTTGACAATATTTTTTTTTTTCATTTAAGTGATTTATTTATAATAGAAAAAATATGTGATAAAAAATTATATGGTATATTATTGGACGACAAGGATTAACAAAAGAAATTTATTTTCAATAACCTACATTAAAAATTGAAAATTCTCTTAAATCTTAGTTAATATTTTAGTAAATACGTAATATTTTTGTGAATACTTGATACATGTTTTAATAAATAATATAATCTTTATATAAATATGTTGTACCATTTATATTTATTAAAATATATAATGATAACAATTTAAATAATTAAACATGTGTAAAATAATAAATATTATTAAATTACTTATTTGATATTAAAATAATTTAAAATAATGAGAATAAAAAAGAAAATATTTTATGATGTAAAACGTAGCACGAAAACTGAATTTTAGATTAAACATTACACTAGAGTAGAGATAAATAATCGAAACCGAACTAGAAAAGTGCCAACACTAAAAATAATCAAACGGAACCGAACCAAACCAAACCAAATCGCACGATTCAGCTACGTTTTCGATTTTCTTTTAGTCATATATTTGGATTCAGTTCGTGCAAAACTGCATTGAACTAAAGTTTTCAATCTGATGGCCGGGCCTTTAAGCTGTCATAGTTTCTTTAGAATTGGTTGCAAAAAGGAAAAAACATTCAAGTCATGAATAAGCACAATTCTGAGGTGCCCAAAAACTATGACAATCAACAACAAAAACAATTAAAAAAAAAAAAAATCTTTCTTCATAACTCCAAAAACACTTCTGTGACAACCCCGAAAATGCACGTTTCACAGTAGAACTGTCCAAAAACCTTCACCTTCAGAGTACGAAAACCCCCCACAACTTCAGTTCACCACTGCACCACCACATACACGCAAACAATTTTCTCCGTTTTGCACATTCCTTTCGATCTTCAACTGAAATATATCAGGATTGTGCACGATAACAACAACGGACATTGTTTCCTTCACGGCAGCCTTAAAACGTTCGTACCCTTCAGCGTGAAAGTTCTGAGCAAAATAAAAAAATTCATAAGAGGTTAACAAATCAGAAGCAGCACATAATAAGCACAGATCGCAATCGAGACATTACTGCCTTCACATAAATATTCTTCATATTCGGCGCCCGAGCCACAAACCCCAGAAGAACTTCCCACCCATTAGAATGATTCATACCAACTATTCCCAAGTCAACCATCTTCAAAAAACTCGGAATTCGTTGGGGCCAAAGGTACAACATCGTCGAGAAAGAAATATCAAGAAAAGAAGCCCATAACATAAAAAAAATCTACAAACTACAAAAAAAGGCGCTCCATCTTAAGTTTCGCAAAAATACGAAAAAAGCATTCATTACCGAGATGAAATTTTCGGTGAGCAGTATCCTCGCAACATCCGAGCACGCGTTAATAGCCACGACGCTTGCTCGTAGACTATAACCTGACGTTGACCTACGATTTCGTTAAGATTCAGACGAGCCACGATAAGGAACCTCATTTTCGTAGCCCAATAAAAAACCAGCATGTATCCATAATGATAGAAGTGCAGAGGCCAGGGGAATCGAGCTCGAGCACGCAAAAAAAAAAAAAAAAGTTCATCATATTACTCAACCACATAACCTTAAGCGAAGGAACGCGTATCGAAAGCATTTCCCCCGGAAAGCAAGAAGGAGTGCAGTAGTTGACAACTAAGACCTCAAGCACAGGGCAGCCCAATAAAACGGCATTGACAAGGTTGAACCTTGTGTAGTGAAAAACGAGGATCTTGAGCTTGGGGAACTGAAAACGAGCCCATTTGGATTTGGGTTGGGCTTGGGTCCGAGATCGACGTGCAGGTGGTGACAGGACGTGCGTCGTCGAGTCTTTTGCAGAATATGACTAGGGATTGTATGGAGATCGTGTTTTGGAGGGTGACTTTGAATTCATTTTAATAAAATCTCCAAATCTCCTTGTTTTATTGTGGTAATTTTTTATTTATGATATTTAAAAAATACAAAATAAGATTATAATATATCAATAAATAAAAATCTTAAAATTATTTAATATGATAAATATATTTACTAATCCATATAGTACACAAATTTACCAATAATATTACATTAAAATACATCAAACCAAAAACAAAATAAAAATGATATGTAGAGTAAAATGGAGTGCGAGAGTAATGCGTTTGGTCTAGATGTGCTGAAATTGGGGTGGTTTTTTGTGCTGAAAATGTGGTGAAGTGGAGTAAACCGGAGTGTGAAAGTATAGCATTACGACTAGCTCACACTACATTTTTTTTTTTATTTATTTAATTCATCTTAGCATAATATTATTCGTAATTTTTTTGTATAATGTGTATTAATAAATTAATTTTTTATGTTAAATAACTTTTGTACTTTTTATATATTGATTTATTATATTTTTATTTTTGTAATTTTTTAAGATTAAAATTGTGCAAGAAAAAAATTAATAATTTTTTTTTTCAACATAATACACATCTTCATTTAAATATGTGGTAAATTATTGAATGAACAAGGATTAACACAAGAAATTAATTTCAATGACCTAAATTGAAAATTCTCTTAATTCTTAGTTAATACTTTAGTAAATCTGTAATATTATTGTGAATACTTAATACATGTTTTAGTAAATAATATAATCATTATATAAACATTGTTATACTATTTTATAATTTATTAAATATACAACGATAACAATTAAAATAATTAAACATGTGGAAAATTATGTAAGAAATTAAATTACATTTTGATATTAAAATAATTAAAATAGTGAGAATAAAAAGAAAATATTTTGTGGAATAAATATAGCACGAATGGTTGACAAAACTTGATTTTTGTTTCACTCTTGAGTAGAGATAATGACTGGAAATGGCCTAATGCAACATACAAAAAATAATAATCGAAACAGAACTAAAAAAGTTCCTACAATAAAGAAAAAAACAAAACTTAACCGACCGAACCAAATTGCACGATTCGACTAGTTGTTCGATTTTCTCTTAGTTTTTTTTCAATATATTAGGATTTCAGTTCGTGCAAAACTGCATTGAACCAAAGTTTTCCTTCCGATGGCCCCAGACTTTAAGCTATCACAGTTTCTTTAAAATTGATATATGTGGTCCATAAGCACAATCTGAGGTACCCAAAAACTATGACAATCAACACAACAAAAGAAATTAAAAACTTCAAAAAACTTACGTGACAACGCCAAAAATGCACGTTTCACAGTGTCCAAAAACCTTTACCTTCAGAGTACGAAAACCCCCCCACAACTTCAGTTCGCCACTGCACCACCACATATACGCACACAATTTTCTCCGTTTTGCGCGTTCCTTTCGATCTTCAACTGAAACATATCAGGATTGTGCATACGAACAACAACAGTCATTGTTTCCTTCAAGGCAGCCTTGAAACGTTCGTACCCTTCAGCGTGAAAGTTCTGAGTAAAATAAAAACAAAATCATAAGAGGCTAATAAAATAGAAGCAGATGAAAAACAAAATAATAAGCACAGATGGCAATAAAAAACATACCGCCTTCACATAAATATTCTTGAGATTCGGCGCCCGAGCCACAAATCCCAGAAGAACTTCCCACCCATTAGAATGATTCATGCCAACTATTCCCAAGTCAACCATCTTCGGAAAACTCGGAATTCGTTGGGGGCAACGGTACAACATCTGCCGAGAAAGAAATATCAAGAAAAGAAGCGCATAACATAAATATCTACAAACTACATTAAAAAGGCGTTCCATCTTAAGTTTCGTAAAAATACAAAAAAAAAAACATTCATTACCGAGATGAAATTTTCGGTGAGCAGTATCCTCGCAACATCCGAGCACGCGTTAATAGCCACGATCGCTTGCTCGTCGCCTATAACCTGACGTTGACCTCCGATTTCGTTAAGACTCAGGCGGGCCACGGAAAGGGACCTCATTTTCGTAGCCCGATAAAAAATCGGCATGTATCCAAAATGAAAGAAGTGCAAAAGTCCAGGGGAATTAAGCTCGAGCACGCAAAAGAAAACGTTCATCATATTATACAACCACAGAACCTTAAGCGAAGGGACACGTATCGAAAGCATTTCCCCCGGAAAGAAAGAAGGAGTGCAGTTGTTCACGACTAAGACCTCAAGCACAGGGCAGCCCAATAAAACCGAGTTAACAAGATTGAAATCCATGGAGTGGAAAACGAGGACTTTTAGTTTGGGGAAACTGAAAACGAGCCCATAAGGAATTGGGTTGGGCTTAGGCCTGAGATCGACCCGCAGGTAAAGCGCACCAAGATTGGACCCGTTAAGGCTGGAGAGCAAAGCGGACGGGTGCCTGAGCCGGCTGCTGATTTGGACAGCCAATCTCTGAATGCCGAGAAGCAACGCAGAGGAAATCCAGGTGGCAACAGGACGTGCGTCGTTGAGCTTTTTGCATAATATGACTAGCGATTGTACTGAGATGGCGTTACGTAGGGTGACTTTGAGTAGATTATCGGCAAATTTTACGAAGCTCTGTATTTGGGTAGAGGAGTTTGATTTTGGGTCGAGGAGTAACGAGTCGTGTAATTGGAGCTTTAGGTTGGGTACGGAAGGCAGTAAGTTTCTCCACTTTGTGGAAAGGATGGTAGTGCCGACAGCGAATTTGGTTGGAAGAAAAGAGAGGATGTGACAGCGGATTTCGTCCGGTAAGTTACTAATTATATCAATCTCTTGATATTTGCGACGTTTTGGGACGGAATCCATGAGCTGATAAGATTAGCTGCTTTTGGTTATCTGTTAAGAGAAAAATATATGAGTCAGGGTTTTTTCATTCAAGTTCTTAAATTGAAGAGAAAGCTCTCGTAATGCAATTACGAAGTGTGAGCCTTGAATTGAAAAAGATTCATAACTGCAGCTAAGATAACAAATACTGACTGAACAAATTAAAAAAAAAAAATAAAAAAAGTATAGGCATTGTGGTGAACTCTGGTATGAACAAATTGTTCAGTAACTTATATCTAATAATCAAGAAACGGCTAGAAGGACATGAAACAGCTAATAAGTTTTTGAATCACATCAAAATGCGAGAAATCTTAATTCAATCACATCAAAAAACCATAGTACAACAGCCATTATTTACAGGATGTAAATTTGTTACATTTGGTCATGTTTCTCAAATTCATAATGCTGTAAATTACCTAGTCATCTTTCAAAGATACTCTTGACGTTCGAATCCCTTATAAAAGTTTCACCCTTTAATGATTTGTGAACAGAAACCTCACCCAAAAATGATGTACATTACAGCAATTATATCCACCGATCAACTCTCCTAAATCGCCATCAAATCAGCAATCCTTTAAAATGCTCGCGTTTTCGTGTCGTGTGGGAAATAACAATTCTAATAAATAAGCATAAATGTATCAATTTTAAAGAGATCTTTTCAAACATTTCTCAATAACTCCAAGCATGGTTGGAACAACTAAATAATGCTATGCAATTGGAGAAAAAAAAAAAAAAAAAATCCCAATGTTACTAATAAAGAGATTTACTATTGATTCTTAAATCGAGAAGCAATCAATAAAAACAATGTAGGAAACTTATAAGAGTACCAGAAAAAATAGCCAGAAAACTTCTTCCTTCTTCGGTCTTCGATTGGACACGAGCCGCCGCCGATATTTTTGTTTTGTGCCTACGTTCCAACCCTAGCAAAATGTTTCGTTTATATAGTGTAATAAAGTGATTTATTCTCCGTGAAAGGCAAATACATTTAATTCGAGTTACTGCATTTCATACTCGCAGAATCGTGACGCCAGCTTGCAGTCAACCATCACATCAATCTTGATAAATCATTTTTCTCGCAATCTCACAAACCAATATCATTATAACCCTTCATAGATTCGGAGGGACTCAAACAAACAGATTAAAAACTGAGCACAAAAAAGCACATCGGTGGGGCCAAGGATTGGAAATGACCAATAAGTAGTACTTTTTGGGTCATAAACCTCAAACCATTCAAATGAACAACAAGTGTAGATATTATTCAAAGGAATACAAATGGATCTTCTTACTTAAAGTCCCTGATAAAACAGAAACTATCACAAATTAGATGACAAATTAAACCAATCAAAGTATCAGTTCTTATGCAAAGAATTATTATTCGTTATGTTTCTCTCCTTAATCACTTAAGCATATACAATTTGAACATACAATATCCGGTGGGTGTTTAGAAATTATACGGTCAGACTACAAAATCGAAAGCTATATAAAACTAAATAACCGATTCCAAAAACTGCTGAAGATGAAACTTAAAAAACTCAAAAATTATATGGCCTGTTTTGCATCCTCCATCAACATCCACTTGCAAACTCATTGCACGATTCTTTCATTCACTATCTTACTTTGCTGGCCACACACGATTTCCCAGTCATGCCCTGCAAATCAGAAGTTACACTCGAGAATCGATATTGTCTTTGTTCGGTAACTTTTCAAACTACCCTTTTCAACTGGTAACTCAGTGCTAAAAACACTTTGTTATCATGCTATGAACACAAGTAATTACTTTCCAAAGTCCCTTAAACCATTGCGATAAGTAATTACTCAGCTTTATTATCTCCATAGGCTACAAAAGCAATATGGCTTACTGGATACATGAATGTTATCAATTGACAAGACTCTGAATAAAAAAAAAAAAAATAAAAAAATCCGACCAAATAATCGCACTCCGAGTGAGCACAAGCACCAATAACTACGCCAAATAACAAAAAACAGACAACATATTCATAGCCTATGGAAAAACAAACAAATCAATTACTTAGTACCATGATTTAAGAAAGAAATAAACTACCCAGTAATGTATCACCATGCTCCATCTCCATTGGATTCAAGTGGCCTGCGATTATTCACCTCAAACAAAAATATGAAGTTTCGTCTTGTTAATTAATAAACTGGAGAAAATGAGTAAATTCACATCTACTATTTGAATTTTGGATCAGTGATAGAGAAAAGCTTGGCAAATAATACGGATTTTTTCGGCGAGATAGAAAAAAAAAAATAAAAAAAAATGCGTATGATATAACGATCAATCTATGAGAGTATTTCTTAGAAATAAAATTAGGCATAGAATTTATGCCAGGCATCCAAGCCCTATTCATCAGTTTCGAATTATTAGATCAAATGTATGCAGATGGAATCACGCAAATGGTGAATGAGAGAGGAAAATGAAACTAAAGGAAACTTAAGAAATTAAATTAATATCAACTAGATAATTAAAATAATTGTCTAATTTAACAACAGTGGTTGACTCAAGTGGTAAGCAGTTTGATGTCGTTTAAGCGAGGTATCGGGTTCGAGTCCTTGTGAATGCAAAAAACCCTTGTTGGGAAACTCACCCACCACTGCCAGGTGTGCGACCCGAGTCGACCAACGGATTAGTCGGAGCATAGCTCCGGATACTGTGACTGGCTACAAAAAAAAAATAATGTCTAATTTAAACTTATATTTCTGATGTATACTTCAAAATTTCGAATTTGCTCGGGTTATTTTTAAACTTCAAAGAATAATTTTGGTAGTGACCATCTTCGGATGGTGGGATGTGGAGACTTACATAGTGCTTTCTCTACAGCTTCAGTTTGGGAGAAGTATGACTTGGTAACCGCCATAACCTTCTCTTCGGGGTAATTTGGACTGACCTTCTTACCCCGTCCATCTCTGATTTCTTTTGGTGCCTTCTTCTACGCTAGATCCCGATCGACTCTGTGCTGCAGGCGAGAAGGAGTTTCCTTCCTCTCGCGGTGTTACTATTATATTGAGACTGGTGATTTTTAGACTGAGACTTTTTCACATGTGTTTTTAGAGAGCGAGGTTACGAGGAGAGCATTTTGTCATTTATACTCTTATACCTCTTCCCACTACAAACAGTTTCTTTATGCCCCTGAGTTTTTTTTTTCACTGCGCACACACTTTAGGCACGTGGGTTTCCTCATTTATTGTCTGATCATGTGGTTCATCTGGACAGATTGGAATAGTGCGAAGCATAAAGATATTACTTTTATGTGATCTCACAGTATTTTTGTAATTTGATCGACATCTCTCCCTCCTCACAGCTCTGGGCGGATTCACAACTCGAGACTGGACATGTTGCACGCCGTCCCACCCCTTCATGTCGCCTTCGTTGCCGTCTGCCCAGCACCCACACCCTAGAGCCATTGTTTAGCTGAGACCCTTAAGTTGAACACTGACGGATCTTTCTACCGACTCACAAGAGCCATCGGAGGCAGAGGCTTGATTAGGGATCACAACGGCGCTCTTATTATCACCTTCCACGTCCCTCTTCAGGTCTCCTCGAGCTACAACGCGGAGGTTGAGGCGCTTCAGATCGGTCTTCAAATTGCAGCTTTTATCTCTACCCACATTTGGATTGAGTTAAATGTTGCTGTTGTCCCCACCCTTTTGACCTCGAGTCACCAGGACTCGTGGAAAATTCAGCACTCGCTCACTACAGTGGTTCGCTGACGGATCTCAAACATTTTCTGTGAGGAGAACCGACCTGCTAATTACCTAGCTAGCCTCGGTGCCTCCACTCCCCATAGGCGCACTCGACCCGGACGACGACGCCCCCCTTCCGCCTCCGCACTCTTGTGCAGAGGGCTACCCATCGTACAGATTTCGATAGCTGTTTTTTTTTTTTTTTGGTGCTTTATCCCACTTTGTGGTACTGACTGCTCGCCTGAGCACCTGTCAGCCAGATTCAGACTCTTCTTTTTTATTGTTTTCTTTTCTTTTTTCCTTTTTGTTTTCGGTTGTTGTTTGATATTGTGTAGACCTATGACTTTCTCGGCCCAATTAGGGCTTTGACTATATACAGGTTGAAATCCGGCCTTAATCCCCCACTCTACGGAATATTTCTCTCCCCCTCCCCCCAAAAAAAGAAGAAAAAGAAAATCGCAGTGACCAATTTTTACTATTTTTATATTAATATTAACTAGATATTCAACGAATTTTTTTTAATTAAACTCATTATTCGATTGGATATACTAAGGTTATGTTTAGTAAAACTAGTTGATAATCTAGTGATTGGTCGGAAAAAGTGTGTACTCTATATATTTATTAGCTTATTTTTATATGTTTAATTTTATCGCACTTATATATTTTTTGACTTATTTATTGTTTGGATGAATTTATTTGCTTCGATATTTTTATGTGTTATTTTCAGTATTTTGGAGTAATTTGGGTTCGCGAAGCATTGGATAAAAATTTACGCGATAAATTGTCGAGGTGCCCGAATACCGGATCGAGAAAATCCCATTAAGCCCCGCAGCACATTAATATAAATTGGGCCCAAAACTTGTCTGATCACATGGAGAATAGATTTGACCAATCAAAATTTGGATGGTTAAAAGGACCCAACTTGTTTAGGATTTATTTGGAAGTGGTTTTTAATTGGAGGAGAATTATATATATTGGGAGGATCATTCATGATGGGAGGAATTATTATTCACGCAGCCACCAACAGAGAAGAAAAAAAGCCGCCACGCACAGAAAGACAGATACGCAAGCAGAAAACGAGAACCCGATCAATCGCGGAGGGAGGCCGCACCCGCACACGAGGGAGATAATTAATCTCTCTCTTTTGTCTTTATATTTTTATTTATTATGTTAGAGTAGTTTTTATTCTAGTTCCGGGAAAGTTGAACCCTAAGACTCGATGAATGTTTGATTAATTTTCTGGTTGATAATTTCAATATCTTTTTGGAATTGTTTGTGTT